GTGATGCCCGTCGCTTATTTTTAACCATTCGATGAAATCAAATTTTCAAAATCTGAGGTAAGAAGTCAACACAGACAAATGGCAACGTGGCCTACTATCCTCTGCTAACGTTTGGCGATGAAGTATTTCTTGTTTCAAAATGATTTAGTTTTAAATCTCCTCTCTATGTTTTTTGTATGTTGTTTGTAGTGGAGGCCGAACAATACTGCCTTTGTAATCAACCAGAATTTGGCTTAATGGTGGCCTGCGATAAGATGGATTGTACGATAACGTGGTTCCATTTAGCTTGTGTTGGACTGAAAGCAGCACCAAAAGGAAAGTGGATCTCCCCTCGATGTGAGTACTTACCAAGCATCTTTTATAGTATAAGTACAATAGTGTAAATATATATTTGTTTGAAGGTATGCTGGCTCTATGCCTGGGCCACTGCCAAACCCCTTCCAATGCCTATAGATTCTGGTTGAATTTATAATAATCGTTTGCATTGCAATTAACACCTGTTTTTTTAGGGTTTTTGGAGTTTTAAAATGAAACTTGATTACCAGTATATGATTATTGTAAAGTGCTGTTGATCAGCGTGTGTAAATAGCACTCTAGAAGTTGTTAAGTTACTTTATATTAGTAAGTTATTATTATTAATTATCGCTGCGAAGTGAAGCAGCAGTTATAATCAGAATGAATACGAAATCTATTTAAAATTAACACTTTTGGATGGATTGACAGGAGACGTCGACAATCTGGCGCATGCAATACAAGTTCACAGACATGCAAAATAGACTAAAATTACTGCAGGAATTTCATATCCTTGGGCTACACTAGTATTAAATTTACCTTTCAGGGAGCTCATACGTTCTTATTTAATCTATTTGGGGGCAAGATGTTACTCTTTAGAAGCCATGTTGTTATTAACGTCCCTAAAATTGCCATTCACTCTTAGTTTTTCGGTAAACCAACTACTTCTGCCTAATCACCCGCCCACCGCCATTCGCAATCATGAAATATTTTTTCAATCTGTTGAAAAATAACAAACAATATAAAAACGAGTGTGGTAACCTCTTCGTTTTACTATCTCTCGAAAACGAAAACTACTTTCTTCAAAGCAAGTCATTTTCATCAGCGGTTTCAGCATGGGCCAAACTTTGAAACACATAAACAACATATTCTGTACCTCCCGTTGCGGCGATATGAGCCCGTTGATACAAGTGGAAGAGCAGCCGTAAAAGCACCCGACAAAAAGGACCTCGGACATTTCGTCGATTTTTAAACAGTTTAATGTGTTTATAAAGATTGAAAAATATTTCAAATTTTCCAAAAAGTAGTATTTAAAGTTAAGCTATGTTAAGGTTAGAATATTTAAAGCTAGAACATTTTTGGACAGAGTTACATATTTTTACAGAACGTTGCTTGCCCAATTGCTATAGGTAACTAATATGTTTGAGCTGATACGGATTGAATCATTGTTGACAGAGTATTTTGAAAAAGAACAGTTACAAGCATTTTCGTCCTAAAAAATGGAGATTTGTTTCACATTAATGCATTATTTTAAATCAACCTATGATATTACGAGCCGTTTGAGATATCGACTATTTGGGATCCTATCAGATATAAGGTGGGTTGTTCACAACGTTTTTGTGTCAAGAAGAATGGATACGCAGAACAAGTACAAGGCGAGACTTGCACCCAAGTCACTGAGGTATGACTAATCTGTTATACGCTGAACCAACTGTGTTTATTTTAAAAATACACCCATGCATTTATGCAATACCAATAATCTGGAAATGTTAACCTGACACCAATGAACAGCAGCATGATAGTCAATGCTGATGACAGGCCAATCACCTGCATTTGCCCTAAAAAGGGTGGATCTAAAAAAGTCACCTTCACAAAAGAGCAGAAAGACATTATGGCTGCTTTTTATGAGAACCAGAGGACATTGCAAATCAGAGCAAATCCTGCTGATGTCATTGAAGCCATTAAGGCGGCTGGAGTTCCTTCCTTAAAGGAATCACAAATAAAAAGCTGGTGGAGTACATACCACCGCAAACAAAAGCAAATAGCAGAAGACTTGATGGAGGAAGCAAGACATCTAAGGTCACAGCAAGGTACTATTTATGACATATAAAAATGAATTTCTGTTTTATAACAACAGTTTTATTTGTTTATTTGTTTTTATGTAATAACAGGGATAGTATGCGTGCTCTGATTGGTCAAAGGGCTATCATTTTTTCATACCAGTAAACTCCTTGAAACAGAAATTTAATAAATTAAAGCAGCAAACCTCATTTTATATAGGTTTACTGGTGCAATAACCCACACAGAATGTTAGGAGAACATGTGAAAAGTTTGTACCGGTATATTGCTTTACTAATGGTCTTATTTGTTTATAATGGTACTTGTTTGTTTGCTTAAAAGGTGGAGAGACAGGTGGAACTAGCAACCGTCCAGACGAAGTTTGACAAGAGAATTTACAAGAAGAAAGGGCAGGGGAAGCATCAGATTGTCCAACAGGTTCCAATGTGATCCCAACAGCAACAAACATGCCTGCCTTAGCTACTCGTGCAACAAATCCCCCACCATCCACTTCAAGTCCACCACCACCTGGAATACTAACAGCAGGCATGATTAAAGGAAATGCCTCTTCATATGTAGCGGGTGTTGTGGAGTGGACTTTTGCTGAATCACAATCAAGTATTCAAGGAAGAACAGGCAGCAATGCTTGTGCCTTTATAGCATTGATCATGGGGAAGATGTGGATGAATGGAAGTTTGCTTTGGCCAAGATGTCCTTGTTCCTGAGCCATGGAAACAATCATTATATGAAGCAATGATCAAAGGCAACAAAATTCATGATGATCTATTCGATCATGAAGCAGTTTCTCTGGCCGATAACGAATGTGGGGTGCAGAGTCTGGGTAAGCAAATTGACATATTTGGTCTGAGTTCAGTTCATCAGTTGGCTAATTTCTTAATTCAAGAGGCTCAGAATCACAAATCAAAATCTTGCAGTGTGATAATGACACAACGGCGTGCCACGCTTTTAGCAGTGAACTCTGATAGCTCTGCTATGATTGTTGATTCCCATAGTCATGGAAATGATGGAGCCATCATAGCATGCACTCCACCAGGCTCTATACATCTCTTGGCTCAATGGCTGGATGCTTTGATGAATGACATCTGGCAGCATTCCCTAACTATAGCATCCGTTACAAAAGTTTTTTACTTTTAATTACAGATAAACAATTATTTCTCGGGTAAAAAATATTTATGAAGGTATGGAACAAAATAATTTATTAGCCCTTTAAAACCCCTTAGAGTGATCAGTAACAAATTTATTCGTGATATTCCAGCTTTTGAAACAGTGTTCCAGGAATGAAGGACACAATCAAAGAAAATTATGCTATTTGGTATTTGTACAAATTCTCTATACTACTTCTGTAGAAAATGGATATGGGCGGAAAAGAGAATTTAAATTTCCATCACAAGGGTTTAAGGGTTAATAGCTAATAATATTGTTCCGCATCAACCCACTATGCCTTGAAGTGCCATCAGTTGCATTCACTTTACTGTTCTCAGTTGCTTATGGTACTAGCTAACAAGGTTTCAATACAGGGATGTTTCTAAGGTGCTTCCCAATAATAAATTATATGTTGGAAATTGTTTGGGAATTTTTCATCTGCTTTGAGATAGGTGTTTTAGCTAAATATGAACAGTCAATACTGCCAGATCTCTTTTTTATATATACAAAGAACATGTAGCCTATTTTATACGCCCAGAAGGAATAATTATTTCATCCGTACGTCTACTTTCTGGAAAATGGGCTCAAAAATGATGCCATGGACTTTAGAAAATTTTGCTTGGGACAAGACTAAATTAGAGAATAGTTGGAAAAGGATAATGCTTGTAGATCTAAATAATCAGGGCTGATTTTTATAAGCGTTTTCAGCAACAGCAGGCAGTTCGAGTATGATTTACTTAACTATGCTGTACTTCATTTTGCAGAAAATTTATGTCATAAACGGGGCTTTGATTTACATCTGTAGATCAAAATTGCAACAGCTAACCAAGGAAATATAGTTTGACATCACTTTTTAAATAATTTAAAAGGGGAAAGATTAAGTTAGCAATGAAATAGCATTTGCCAATTTCTCTTTTTCTTTTGGAAGCTCAATGAAGTAGTGGAATAAAACAAAAGTGCTTGTACTTTTGCATACTCTATACAAGAGGGATTTTCTAAAGAGTGACCCCTTTCCCCATAAGGCCCCACCCTCTCCGACCCCTTAATACCCATTAGGATTTACGACAACACATTTCCACTAATCATGTTTTTATTACTCTGCCATCATCTCTTGAGTTCTTGTTATGGCCTTTAGGAATACAGAACAGAACTATCAAAACAATAATATCAAAAATAACTGGGGAATGTTTGAATGTCATAATGCTCTCAAACATTTCACTGGCGTATCTCTCGTGCCGAAGGACAGATCTAATGAGTTAAAATTTACTTTATTCTCCTGCCAGCGGGTTTACATCAGCTTAAAGTTCATATCCGTTGATAAAAAGAGCAATGATTGCCCAAATTTGATTATAACTTTGCAGGGTGGTATCCCTTATTTCCCTCAGTGTTAAACCGCTCCTACACAGGAGGTCGTATACTTTTTCTAGGGATTCGTCTTCAATCTCCAGCTCTCTTATCAATCTTTCCAACAAGCCATTTTTGTCTGTGCCTCTGGAAATCATGTCAATCACATAGACTTGTGCTGTTGCCTCCGCGAATCTGGCGGTTCTAGCGACTTCAAAAAAGCGCTCGCCTTCCAGCCATCTCGCAAATGCATTTTGTTTCTTCGGAAATGTTGATATTTTCCCATATAGGCTGCCCAACCCACTGACCTGTTCGAGGAAAAAAAAATGAAAATCATTCACTGTAATCTTTTCCAAGACAGGGGCAAACATCTTTCTTTGGCGTGCACTGTATATTACCTTTGATGCAGAGTCTCAATAAGTTATACCTCTGTGTCACGGTCGACTTACCGAGATATTTTTGCCACGTTTTGAGCCTCCTTCTTGACTGTGATTCCCATCTTGGCTTGCACTAGCTCTTTTTCTGTTGGGAAGCAGTGAACAAGTGAGTAAAAATGTGAGAGGAGAGTTGCAATAAAAAGAGTAAAGAGTAAAGTCAATCACACTCACGTTTGTTCCATTTCAGAATATAGACAACTTGAAATTTTTGAAAAGTGTGCGCACATGGGCCAGATCAGTTAGTTTCAAACATGAGGTAAATAAAAAAAGCACTGTTTTTGTAACTTGGTATGAATTTAACTTTTTTCACACTCTCCTATTGAGATGACAACCAAATTGAGCCATATATGGACTGCGATTTTCACACGTAAAGATAGAAAACAAAAAGAGCAGGGTTCTGGAAAGGTGAGAAAAACTTGCTGCCACACTAAAATCACTGAAAGGCTGCTGTACGCAGAAATGGATATTTCTCCCGTGATCTTGATTTATGTGTTTTGGTTTCTGGACCTTAGCGATTTGGCTAAGGCTGCTGGAACTTGTTTTGTGTGGTGGAATGTGATCAAGAGGTATTGCCTGATGGAAAACGATTGGGAAGAACTGGATCTGTCCGGAACAGGAAAGCTATATTGTTGTATACCACGGAGAGCATTCAGATCACTCAGATACTTAAATCTGGCCTTGACGCATTATAATTCTTACCGGCTAGTTTTCGTTAACGCCTAACACAATGTCGACTTGTACATTAAATTGCGTCTATTAATCAAAAAAGGGCAATTTTCGCAGCAATTGACGATTACAAATTGACGATTACAGAAGAAAACAATATTAATAGTGAAACCTGGAGTCCTTAGTGATAGAAGCAAAAACAGGTAAAGTTTAACCTTTGCAACGTGCCCTTGACAAACTATGCCGATTTGAGTTACTTGTTCCAGTGTGTGGATGCCCCGCTATGCGGGGCTTTTAACGGGTGTCTTGGCCCTGGGGCTGGGGAAATAAGTCATCTTTTAACACTGGGTAAATGTTAAATTCCCTGCTATGTCCCAGGGGTCGGGGCTTCAATTGACTGATGCATTAATTTTACTAGTTTCACATAGTTGATTTTGTAAATGTTATTAATTTATGTTTAAGCTTTATTATTTGACTTATTTATACATATATATATATCTATTTATTTATTTGTTACTGACTGCTTACCTATTATCTCCGCCCACCTCGACTAGCACCTGCTATTTGCAGGCGGAAATAGACCGATTGCAAATATGGCGATGATCTCACCAAAGCGAGGCTTTTCGGTAGCAACCGTTGCTAAGGGCTGGTCGCTTGTTTATATGCTAATGCGAGTCCGTTATCTTGTTGTTTTTTCACTCTGGAAACAATTACAAACTTTTAAGGAGAATTCATCGTCGGTTTGTTGGGTTAAAATGAAGGTCAGTGCTTTTTGCTTTGCCTATACTATACAAATCGGAACGTAGATGATAGGAAAAATCATGATTGCGATGTAATTATGTGTGAACTCATATTACATTTCCGACTTTGAACTTGAACTTCTTGAAAATGTTTTAGGCTCAGTTTCACTGTATGTTCTTTTTACCGAACAGTATTAAGTTCACAATGGATAGGCCTGTGGAAAAGATGCATGTGAAGAAAAGTGAGCCTGAAAGGATTAACTGTGAAGGCCCAACCTGTTGCAAAGTAAGCAGCGTTTTTAACCCTCTGTTTTATATGATTAAATACACTTGAAAATCGTGTGATGCACCTTTGTCTTTTGTCTCATTATTTTTTTTCTAAGTGATTGCAAGTTTAAAATTAGCATCCCTTGTTGATTTTTTTGTGCAGAGTGAAGGAAGTACTTCAAATGTGTACAGATGATCGCAGGCAAAATAATCAAAATAATCAAGCGACCACCGCTACACTTCGTGCTCGAAGCAAAAAGAGCGACTCAGATCTTGTTAGGGAGAATGAGGAAAAGTTTCGATTTTGTCCCTCTGAGAAGAATATGGATAAACTACTGGACGATCTTTCCCCATTCACATATAATACCATTGTGAAATATGTCCCAAACTCCGGTAAAAACATTCAGCATTACCCGGACTACATGGTAATGAAGCCGTTTGAACGTGGTGTCAATTTTTTTATTGAAGGATACCTTCATAAGGTCGGGGCCCAGAATCACAAAGAGAGCAAAACCTTTTATTTCAGAGCCCTTTGCTATCGAAGTCTACGGAAAAGTGAACCCCCACATAAAATAAGATTAGCAATCTCAACAGAGCAACCTTACTATGTACTTGCTTCACGGCCTGCACCTGTGTCACTGGATCTTTGGGGTTTTGTAATCATGCCGTAGGCCTTATGTATCTAGTTTCCCACTATTCCATGACAAAAGCTAAAATGGTCCACGATGACTTACATGTGAACCTTAAATACAATGAATGAAAAATATCGGGCAGTCAAAGTATCGCGATCGCTACAAATGACTTTGTCTGTGATCGCTGAGCATCAGTTGATCTTTCAATTTAGTATGGAAAAACAGTATCCAAATCGTGTATACCAGATTGAAACCTTTTTCAGCGAAGAAAATTGACTTATTTTTGTTGAATTTAAAGGAAAAGACACTTGAGAAGCTGCAGTCTTTCCAGCAACGGCATGGGTAAACACAGGCTACCAACCTCTAGCAACGGTTGCTACCAAAAAGCCTCACTTTAGTGAAAACGTCGCCATATTTGCAATCAGTCTATGGACTTTATGTAAATGTAGCTTGTTAATAATAATCACAACATGTATAACGTGTAAAAAACATTGAAATAAATACAGCTTATTATATTATGATATTCACAACACTCATAATGATATGCGAGGTTAAAATAATTCAATAATGGGTTCTTTCATGGCTAGTCTAGCGGTCTCACGTGTGATTACGTAATTACCGATAATAAATTCTGGTTTGGCGCGAAAATAAACCATTCTTGCTCAGTTTTTCAGAGCTGGTCCCTTTTCTTTTGGAAGATACGACCCACGCGATTTTCTGATGGCTGAGGGTCAACCTCTGGAGCCGAACGTTCAGTTACTTGTCGATCCTGTAGAGCCAGTCGTGAATCCACCGGTCGTGAATCCGCCAGTTGTGAATCCACCGGATGGCAACCAGAATGTTAATGTCGCTCAGCCTCAGGAACTGGAGGTAGTTCTCTTTTAGTTGTTATGAATTTTTCGTGGCATATTTCTCTTGTCTGTCATATCTTTCAGGTTCTTCACACAGCATGGTGGAGAGAATAACGGAGAGCTTTTTTTGGCCCGATCGCGGCCTGTTATCAAAATCTTTTCGGAAGATTGTCTGGCTATTCCGCATGGCTAGTTAACGAACTAGCGTTCGGCGTCTGCCTTGTGGCTGGAGGAACGCCGTGGATTCGCTTATTTTGTATTTCTTTCGGCCTTTGTGGTCGTTGGATGGTTACAAAACCGTACGAGCGAGGTGGCCGATTTGTTCGGCGGTGGCTAGTTGACAGATTAGCGGTCGGCGTTCTGGCTAGAGGAACGCCGTGGACTCGCTTATTTTGTATTTTCTTCGGCCTTTGTGGTCGTTGGATGGTTACAAACCGTACAGGCGAGGTGGCCGATTTGTTCGGCGGTGGTTGGTTGACGGACCAGCGTTGGGCGTTTAGCCTTTAGCTAGAGGAACGCTGTGGACTCGCTTATTGTACAAGCGACGTGGCTGTTTTGTTCGGCGGTGACATCTAGCTTTTGGCTAGAGAGACGCCGTGAATTCGCTTATTTGTATTTCCTTCAGCCTTTTTGCGGTCGTGGGATGGTTACGAATGGTGACAGCGAGGTGTCATTTGTGTTTTGTCTTTTCCTTCGGCTGATGTGGCCTTTGGATGTTTGTTATGAGTTATGATAATGGGTCATCATTAATTGTTGAACGTTGCTAGGTCGTCTTACTTGTATTTTCTCCTTTGGCTGTGCCTGCCGAAGGATGTTTATACATGGTAACGCGAGAAGTTACGTGATGTTTTTGTTTTTTTTCACGAGGTCTGTAATGAGGTTTTTTATGCATAACACTAAGTGCTTCGCACATTGAGGTGGGCGGTGCTTAAGAGTCTCTTTGTTCCTTTGCAGAGATTGCGTGAGGAGGTGAGACAGTTAAAGCAGTCAGTGGAGGCAGTAACCAACGCGTCGCCTGAGAAGCTCGTGGAACAGATCTTGGCTTATGCTTCCCGCCCGTTGACAGAGTTTAACAAGTATGAGGTGCTTGAGATGTTGGAGACTCTGCATAACAAGGCCGCTGACCGTAATCACGACAGGAAGAACTACTATTGGCTCGTTCATCAGTCGGCGAGGGAAAAGGTGGAGTTGTCGAAGGACCACCTCAAGGACCTTGTTATGCGCCTATTAGGAGACAAGGACCACGAGAGGGTCCTGGATATCGTTTCTAAAGTAGAAAAGAAGTCAAATCGCAAGAAGCCTCAAGCGAACGACAACAGGGGTGCTGGTGTGGCACGTCCGTCTCGTCTATTTTCTTTGCGATGTTATTTTTGTCATAGGCGAGGTCAAATCAAAGCTGATTGTCCTGATTTGAAGTCCAAGCAGAGGAAAACGGATCCCAAATCAGACAAGTAGCTTGTGTTTAGATCTCGTTAGTTCGCACTGGTGTTATAGGTTGAAGGCCGCCTGGACAAGGCTGTGTGTTGTAATATTGCTTAATTCTTTGCAATAATAAACAAACTTTTGTGTGTATTGAATCAATCTAGTGCATATTTTACTCTGTCTATTTTGTCAACATAGTTATAACGACTTTGAAAAAGGGGTATCCTTGAGACAAGGGCCCTCCAGCCTCGCTGGTCTTAGCTGTTATTTCTCTGCTGACTTTGACGGGGATGATTTTAATATGGTCTTAGATTTTTCGGCGATTCAGTGTTTAAAGGTGTCTTCACTACCCCCTTTTTCCTAGGGAAACGTGGTGTTGGGAAAAATCTGACTCCTTTGATCTTTGACTTCAGGAGTTACAAGGCAAAGAAATTGAGCTTCCAATGTCCTGGGTCGATTGTTTCGGTAACCCCGTCGAGGTCAGTGGAGAAGTGACAGCCTGTGACCGTGTTAGATTACAGAGAATACAGAGGGGAGAGTTAATTGGTGATATTTCGGAGTTATTGTTCCGTGACCCACATTGTTTTCGAGCTGGAGAATTGCATAACCATTTCGAGTATTGGCAGTACATTGCGCGAGATAGCTCATCACCCCAACAGGCACAGATTCTTGGGTGGATAAGGGACAAGGTCTCGATTAAGCTGTTTTCAAGCATTTTAAAGGAAGTTTTAAAGGAGAATTGTTTGATTCAGACGAGCCTCCGATGAAGGTGTTTAAGAACAATGTCTCTTGCAAGCCCTTTGTGTCATTTGTGGAGGAAACGTTAGTTGCGCGCTTGAGATCTGGAGCTATTTCGCTGTTGGGGAGAGTGGGTGTGGTTGACCCTCCATTTATTGTTCTTCCCCTTACAGTTGAGCCAACAAAGCCAAGGTTATGTCACGATGCGCGCTTTCTTAATTTATGGATGTGTGATATGCCTTTCTCTTTAGACAGGCTGATAGATTTACCGCGTTACGTGGGCAAGGATACCTACCAAACGGTCCTAGACGATAAGTCTGGCTATGACCATATTCTTCTTTCTGAAGACAGCCCCACGTATTTTGGGATCCAATGGGAGGGTGGTATTTCACGTATAATACCCTTCCTTTTGGGTGGAAGATCTCCCGCTTGTATATCATACTACTGGCCTGTTGGCTAGTAATTTCCTTAGAGCTACAGGAATCCCTTGTTTGCTCTACATCGATGATCGACACAATGGCGAACTGCAGGTGGCACTTTCGATAAGGGGAATACGCTACTACTAACACTGTTGATGATCGTCATCTTGCGGCGGCTAGGTCGGCTATATTTCTTGTTGCTTACCATCTTGTCAGCTTGGGCTATTTCCTTGGTTTGCAAAAGTCAATATTGTTCCCAAGTAAAGTGGTTCCCTACCTTGGTTTTTTAGCGGATTCTTCTAGGGAGGTGTTCTGCTTAAAGCCAGAAAAGAAGGAGAAATTCTTGCAACTTGTCCGAGAAATACTCCATGCCTCTAAGGTTACGGTGAAAACCTTGCAACGCCTGGTTGGGAAATGTGTCTCTTTTAGTCTAGCAGTAACTGCAGCCCAGTTGTTTACGAAGCAGATGAATGCAGCTATTGCCAGTGGCCAACGTACTCCCCACAGGCTAATACCCATCAGGGGGGATCTGCGTGAGGAGATCTCCCATTGGCTGTTTTTGGAAGGTTGGGATGATCCGGGAACATGGCGGGATGAGCGTCATATTCGTGTGTCCGTTGCAACTGATGCTTCCGCATCAGGTTGGGGTGCTATTTTGTTAGCCCCTCATCGTGAGGAAATATCAGATTATTGGACGGAAGAGCAGTGCAAATGGGGGATCGCCGCGAAGGAAGCTACTGCGGTCGACATGGCGTTAATGGCTTTTAAAGACAAACTGTTCGATGCTAGAGTTGATGCTTTTGTTGACAATAAGGCCGTTGTCGAGGTTTGGAACAACCAGGGTGGTAGAAGCTTGGAGCTTAATATGGCATTGAAATGGCTTTTCTTCACAACGTCGAAGCTTAGCTTATCTCTGCACATGTCTTACATTCCGACTGGTCAGAATCCTGCTGATGCTCCATCAAGGCGCCTGTCCCACTCAGATAGTAAATTGTCGGATGGCTTGTGGCAGATTGTTCAGAAGGAGTTTGGTGGTAGGGAAGGCCATACTTGCGACCTTATGGCCTTGGATTCGAATAGTATGACGGATGCGCACGGGTATTCTCTCCCTCATTTTACACCGATTCCCTCTCCCCGATCGTCTGGTGTAAATCTCTTCACACAGGACCTTGCTTCCCTCGGAGCGCTTATGGCCAGACCGTATGTTTTTCCTCCCATGGCTTTAACGGGACCTGTCTTAAAATTTCTGCAGAGTTTTAAACAGTCGTGCACAGTAGTGGTGCTGGACGTGTTTCCCAAGAAGTACTGGTGGCCTCTCCTTATGAATAAAGCTGTAAAGAGTAGATGTCTGGCTGTTCGTGGCGATGGCAACGCTCTCTTGGTCCCGTCCAAAAAGGGGTGGCTGCCTCACAAGGGCATTCCAGTGTGTTTTTAGGTGTGTCTTGGCATACATTTTGATCTGTTGTGCTACTGGTTTGTGGTGTATGATAGGGTTCTTCTTTTCTGGTTTGTAGGAGCTTCCAGTCATGGCAAAGCTGTTTGTCCAGTCGGTTAAATGCCCAACCTGTGGACACGCTAATGATTTTGACTTCCGTTTTTGTCAACGTTGTGGCTACAAGCAAAAGGTTATGACAACGCTTGTCAAGGAACACTCTGATGTTATCGTTGACCTTGATGGGATTGAAGGGCGGTTGCAGCAGTTACTTCACTACGATCAGGCAACCAGTTATAAAAAGCAGAAGGATTCTCTTCAGAGGGAACTTGAGGCTTTTCTTGGTGCTCTGCCGGGTTTTGTTACTCTCGCGACAGTGACGCCTAGGGACTTGTGTCGCTTCCTGATCTTTAAAGACAAGCGTAGCAAAACACAGGTACACCTCAATACGTGTGAATTTTTGGGTCAGCGTGGTAAACAGTCATGTGGCTGCCCCTTGAGATTGTCGTACAAGACTGTGGACTCTTACATAGGAAAGTTAAGATCGATTTTCCATTCCATTGGTCGGGACGGAGAGTGGGACAAGCGGCTAGGTCTTGGTAACCCAGCCCCTGATAAATTGGTTGAAGATTACCTTCGTCTTGTCACAGCGGAGCAGTTACAGGCCCGTGTTACTCCAAAACAAGCCACGCCATTCTTTGTGGACAAATTGACTCAGTTATCGAAGTATCTTGAAGGCGAGCTAGCGAGATCAAAGTCGAAACTTGACCGTTTCATTATCGCACGTGACCAAGCTTATTTTAAGTTGGCGTTCTTTAGTGGGGACCGCCCAGGAGATCTTGGTCAGGTAAAAGTTCCGGAGATCCTTCGTTTTCCAAATGATGATGGGTTGTTATTTAATCATATCTGGGGTACGACTTTGCGGGATGGTGACAGTAATGTCTTTGGTGTTCGCAGAAATCCCCAGTCGGTCATCTGTCCTGTGAAGGGCGTTGAGCAATATGTCAAAGTGGCAAGGGAGTTAGGCGTTGATTTAACAAAGGGATATTTGTTTCGTCCGACAACTTCTAATAATGGTGTCCAAGATTCTCCATTTAGTTCTTCAGCATCAGATGCGCGTCTTAAAGTGTATCTCAAGCAGATGAAAGCTGATGATGGTGAGACATTGCATGGCTTTCGTTTGGGTTGTGCGATAACGTTGGCCCTCAGAGGAGCGGATCTGTCTGAGATTATGGAACACGTGGGTTGGGCTAGGAGGCATACCGCCTCATATTACCTTCAGCTGGCCAAGGTTCTGAAACATGATGGCCCGTCGGGACGACTTGCTACGCCTTCTGCTGAGAATGTGGTGGCTCCATGGCAGGATGTGAATCAGCTGAAACGTTTTGTGTGTGCTTTTCCAGCTGCTGAGCAGAGGAAACGCCCAGCAGAATGAGGATACTTTGTTTGGCTAGGGTGTTTTTGGAATGGATTATAACCTTTGTACTATCGTTTCTTTAATGAAGAGATGTTGTTATAGAAACTCATACCAGTTTAGTTTGATTATAATTGTAAACGTATAGCTGTGTCTTACTGTACTTGGGGATTAAAGTTATGAGAGAGGTTGGAGAATTGAGGATTGGGAAGTTGTAAGAGGATTTGAGAGTCGGAGTGCAATTATCTAAGACTATTTAAGGAACAGTGAGGGCTGTTGGGCGCTGATCAATCTTTTTTCCCATACCTTATTAGAACTGAGCATGAATATGAATGTATGTGAATAGAATACTATTCACAACACTCATAATGATATGCGAGGTTAAAATAATTCAATAATGGGTTCTTTCATGGCTAGTCTAGCGGTCTCACGTGCGATTACGTAATTACCGATAATAAATTCTGGTTTGGCGCGAAAATAAACCATTCTTGCTCAGTTTTTCAGCGGAGCCGCGAAGAGGTGGACGGCTCACCCAGTCCCACCCAAAAATCGCGTGAGTCGTATCTTGAACTCTTCCTAAGCCAAGCTGTCCCAGCTTGGCTTAGTCCGCTGATCAATCTTTTTTCCCATACCTTATTAGAACTGAGCATGAATATGAATGTATGTGAATAGAATACTATTTAATGTGGGAGAACTGGTTTAATGATACTCATGATTCAGTAATAAGTCATGGGCCAATCCACTGTGTCCTGCCAGAGCAAGTCACAGGAAAATTATGCAATATTTCAGCACTTACCCTTTTGACAAGTTCCTTGAGGACTTCTGTCTGCCATGTTTCTGGCAGGTTTTCATTGTTGACATATGTGGCAGCATGTTTTTTTGTCACCAGACACGAGAGCCCTTTTAGCTACCTTGCTTTGTTGGCAGGGGTCATTGTCCATGATAAAGAGCAGTTGCCCGTGCCATTTTGGTCCAGATCGTGCAAAGGCGATATTGAAATGCGTCTGAATAAACTGCGTGAAAAACTGTCCGTCCATTTTTTCATACACTTCCTCTAGAACCACACCTTTCCCATTAGTGATTGCTACTAATAAATGCAACTGAGGTCCACCAGCCAAGTCTTTACTGCCTTTCGCGGCAAACTGTAGACCTTCGTTTTTCTTCCTCCATATTCGGCTTTTTGTTCCGGCCACTGCCTGTAGGGGATTGCGCTTGTGAACGAAAGGAACACCATTAAAATAAAAGCAATGTCATGTTTGAAGAAGTCTGGATTTCTTGAAAGTTTGCGAAGGACCCCCTGGGAAAAGCAGAAGAAATGGTGGTCTGAAACCATTCAAGGATCTGCATGTGGAAGAGCTCCTGTGATGGCTCAAAAAAAGAACTGCGAGAAATTCTCAAGGAATA